AAAGTCTTAATTCAGCCCTGCAGGCCAAAGTCTGATTCAGCCCTTCCTGGAGCCATTTGAGCACAATTTAGGCCAAAAAAGCTCTATCAAAAGGCTATTCCAGCCCACGGTAGGTTCCATTTCAGCCCTGGGACCAAATCAGCCCTAGCTAATTGGAGTGTATTGGCCCTGATTTAAGGCGATTGCCTGGTCTTGCACTGCGCATCTCTTACCGCGCATAACAAGATGGCCGCCGTAAAAAAGAGCATGTGAAGTAACATTATTAAAATGAAGTTGACTGAAGAGAAACGCTATTGGAAGTTTTGCTTGCGGTTGTTTCTTGGCGAGGTGACACTCAATGTGTTGGGAATGTGCATAACGTAAGCAGTACGTGTGTTGCTGAGTTCGACTTCCTCACGGAGAACCTCCAGAACCTCGATAAATGTTAAACTTGTGCTTACTCACTTTGATTTTCATTTAAACGCTTTCTTTATCACATTGTGTCCTAAATGTGATATCTATAAATTCTGTAAAAACGGATTTTTTAATACTTTCCTCCCCCTTTCACATAGATTCTATTTTGAAACTCACCCCAGTCCTCTCTCAAAAATCAAGGAAAATGCATTTGGTGCGCACTTTCTGCAGCTCTACCGCAAAACGACTAGGTGGCCCCCATTTTTTATTTCATGATTATAATAAGGACAGTGCTTCCTTTCGATGAGAAAAAAATTGGCACAAAACTATGTTCAGTTTTTTGGCAATTTTACTAAATTGTAGGGATTCAGCTATCACGGGTCGAAGAGCGCGTTTCCAATTTAATTCTACTTTGTAGCGTAAAGTAAAAACAAGGGCATTAAAAGGCATTTTTCTGGAACGTTAGTGGAGAAAAAATACATTAAAGTCCATTCTGAGCGATACCACATGCATCATCGAAAAAATCTCTCCTTTTTGTCTAGTTTTGCGCTGCCCTCGGTTTTTGTAAAAGGGTCCTAAAGAGCCGTATTTGTCAGCATTGTGACGTCAAAACGAGCACGGTGACCCCCACTTTTTGCTACTTTTTTTTTATCATCTTCTTGACTTGTTAGATCAGTCTACCAAGTTTCATCTACAATATATGTTAGGTTCTTTTACTAGGGAATCACCTTAAGGGAGCCAAATTAGACTCAAAAATAGGACTGTATTTTACTCACCGAAACGGCCCTATTTTCAGGGCTAAAACAGATCTTTCTGATTTAGAGTATAGATATTTTTAGCGGGAAACGACCGCGGGAAACAGGAAACATTGCGATAATATAGAAACCAGTCCCTCTCATGTGGAAACTTCGTCAAAAAACCGTCTACATTCCGTCTAGATATAAATTCAGAGACGGATGATCCGTGTAAGACGAATTATCCGTCTGTTAGCACGTCTTCAAGACGTATTAAGTGTTATTGTCAGAAAAAACCGGGCAATAGCAAAAGATCGAGGTCAGCCGTTTACCTTCCTGTTTTCACAGTATGAAAGCTATCTGAAAAGATTAACAACCATGGCATTTGGAGAAGTAGCCGTTCGATTTTCTTCGAGATATCACTATTTCGAGATTTTGGGACCTCCGGCGACCTAAAAAAGCACCAATTTTGGCTAACTTTGGGTGAAGTTAAAACATACTTGGCCAAACTCCCAATAGCTCTTATATTTTTTCCATAACACCTATCGCTTCGTTAGTCGACTGGAATATGTTAAACTTCCTTTGCTTAAATACTCTATTTTTTACCTGGTGCTAAAAATCGCTCCTGAATCGTTAATGAGCGTCACCCAAATTTCAGTCATTTTCAGTTGACTGTTTTACCGAGATGCAGCAGTTTATTTCAAAAGTAAAATCATTTCTAGATGGCTTATTGTGCTGTTACCAAAATCCAGTTTGTTTAAAATTGGTATCTAGCAGCAAATTGGAGAAAATGGCATGCGAAAGTACAATAATAAGCGTCGAGTATTAATATTTCCCGCCAAATTTTATAGCGCCACGTTTCGTTTTACTGTGATTGTGGTTCGTAAATGTCTTAAAATAGATTTTTACGACTTCAGAAGAGATAATTGAAAACTTTTATATCCCTAATTACAAGGAAAAACATTATAAATCACCGTATTGATAATAATCTTTTTAATAAGCAAGCGAAATCGTCAAAAAACGAAGCCCATTTTTCCCGCGAAAGTTTTAATTTATTTGTCACGCAATACAATAAAGCCGGACTGTATTCTCAGTTCTGAGTTTTTGACGTTGACCAGAAAACAAACTTAAATCAAATAATACCAAGAAAATTCAGAATTATCCTAATTAAATTACTTCATAGAGACACCCTGTTTCCATCGAACGCTAGAGTTGTCACGAATTTAATGATCGGACGTCACGACAGGTTGAAAACAGATCAAAACATGAATTGATCATTCAGATCGGAGGAATCGCCATGTGGCTTGCGTGGAGTTGGTACGGTTATTCTGCCCTTACTTGCCCGCAAAAGAGATATGACCTTTCATCTTCTTAGTCTGAAAATCAGCGTAAAACGTGGTAGAGGAAGCACCGAGGTCAGCGAAACAGAGTTTTGACTCTTTAAAAAGTATATTTGTCATGGTTTTGACAAATTAAATAAATTTTAAGTAAACAGTGAAAACAAATACAGTATTATTTACGCCCAGAATAAAGAAAAAAATATTATACTCGACTCAGTTTTTTATTATTACCTCTGTTAACTTTTCCAGTTAACTCAGTTTATTTTACTCACTCTAGTCGCTTACTTACAAAGTTCAACAAAGAATCAGAGCAAAAGAGATTTCAAAGTAAGTCACCTAATAGCTACCCATGCCAATAGCAACATTGTAGCTACATTTTACTAGTGTACTACAATCCTACTGTGCAACAGGCCAAGCAGTACATAAATGACTGATTAACGGCCTTTTATTTGCCTACTCATCATTACTTAAAAGCTCTTCAAAGTCAATCTCCTGCTACTCTTCCTCCTCTGCGACATTTTCCGTCTCTCCTCAGTTGTTTTCTCCAACAGGTCAACGAGTGAGGGGGGAAGTATAGCATCACATGATCACACCGTCCCTAGGATACCTTCCTCGGTCTTCTGCCAACCCTGGCCTGAATCGTAGGGATTGGGGCGCCAAAATGTCGCCTGTTGAGCTCTTTTGTGGTTGGCAAGGCGGTAATTCACTCTCCAAATATGTGGAATGAAGTTGTCTTTGCAAGGTGGAAGCCGGGACAGGTCTTCTTTTGATCTCATTATAGGTTCCTCATTCTCTCCTACCATCTTCTTAAGCATTATGTTGCGTACGGAATCAACAGACTTCTCCCGCGTGTAGTCATACATCAAACACGTAAATGCCTCTAGTTCATCTGTAACGTCTTGATCTACAGACCACTCATCTCCAAGTTTTCTAAACGAAAACAAGAACAAAACAAATGATGGCAACATTATTAATTTACTAGTAGGTGTCAATATTACAACTCATTACTGCCATGTAAAGCAAAAACGCTCACATAAATGCGTCATGGTACCTAGGATGGTTCTGCAGCTTTTTTAAGGGTCCCACCTTACCCTTGCCCTTTAACGCACTTGGAACATCTTCACCGGTAAACAAGTATAGACCGAGCAGCGCAGTGTAGTAGTCGGCTCCTTAGATTCTGATAGCTCACTGACATTTATAATTTGACGATGCTTTCGAGATCCAGTATCTAGGTATATGGTAATTGGGATTGAGTGCACATAGTGAAGCAGGATAAAGATGTCTGTGTCTGACGTCCTGACCACAGCCGATTTGAATCCACGCCTGACGGCATAGTCGAGGTACAGCACAACTCTGGTGTCTGTCTCCTGGTTGGATACAAGCTCTTCAATCTCGTGTATCGCCACCTGAAATGCGTCATTTTTAATTATAATTAAATAAACCTGCACTGTAGCAATACGCATTTGCCAATCATAGCTTGCAGCCTTCTTATTTTAATGTACTCACATCGCCATAAAGTATTCCAAGTTGGTACGCCTTACAATCAACCACTATCTGAGCAGTTTCACATTTCTCCAGCTGAGAGGCTGCTGTCTTGCTCCCCTACACTCACAGCTTTAGTTGGCAGAGCTGTAGTTAATTCTTTTCTTTTGCAAGGTCGCTGGTCCCTCTAGGATATACCGCTGGGAGAAACCACTACGGAGTCGTTCTTGTGATTTGATGGAGTCTGCATGGTAAGAATCCGTTGAGAAGACAAAATTCTTCTTAGCCACCATCTAGTAGCTGAAGGCATATCTCACCAAACGTTGGTGGTAGGTTCTTCAGGACACGGAAAAGTGCGTTCCCATCCTGTATGTAGAGGCTCTCCGCCGGATAAATAACTTCTTCAGGAGCATCGTCCATCATATACTGCAGCATAGTAGCCTTGTTTGTCTTGTTGAAAAATTGGTCAGGTGTTCCAAGGCTGTGAGGTACAGGCTTAAGGGAGTAACGCATGTGCTCGTCAATGTCAATGGGATCATCTATGACACAGTTCAGGAATTTCACAAGGTCAGATGGGAGTAGTTCCTCAGATGACTTGACTTCAAGATTGTCGGCTGAAGGAGGCCAGGGAAGTGGCTTCGACTCTTTAAAAGCCTGCTTAATCGAGCTGCGTAGGAGGAGAGCGACATCTTCATACTTGTCTTTGGACCCCAAATTGTATGCATAGGCTAGTGCTTCAGCAACGAACATGGCGGCACTGTAGACCAGATTATAGGTGATACAACCTTTGTCACCCCGGTTGACATTTGCGATAGTGATCAACTCACAAATCTCATGATTGTCAAGTCGTGCTTTCAAATTCTCACTTCTGTACTCTGGATTAGGAAAGCCATTTTTCTCCAACTCTTGGACGTAGAGAAGACGTAGAGAAGAAAGCAACAGAACTATTCTCTGTTCAATAACGGAATCTTAAATAAAATCAAGCACGGCAGTGAATGCCTTCAGATGTGCAGATGCCTTCTGACCCTGATCTGTTTCGGTTTTGTCACGTCTTTTGTGGCTCGGGCTGTACGTATCACGCAGATGATTTAAATACTTCAAGTTAAATAAACTGCGACAGGACGGGTGAAACTGGGCCTCTCGTGCAAACAAATCTTCCCCTTGTACTTTGCGATGAAGATGACTATTGCCAAGCTCGAGGGCTCGAGGCTCAATCTGTTTCCCAGTAGGCTCCTTTAGAGCTCCGTCTTTGTCCTTGAACACTGGGAACTTGATGCATTGCTCTGTTTTTCCACACGATTTCAGTTCAAGCTTTTCACAGAAAATGCATTTGGAGGAAACAGCTGCGGAGCAGATGAGGATGATGATTTACGAGGGGAACGTGTTGTTGTTGTGGCTTCACTATTAGGTGTCACACTGGACTTCAACTTATCCTGGTTTTTAGTAAACCTTTGGTAACAGGTGATAGCAGATTGCTTCTAAATTTGCACCCTGGAGATTCTCTGGAATCTGCAAACAAACGTCTTCCATGCGATTCGGTGAATCATGAGGTTTCATAACTCGCCTGTCACGAACTTCATGTAATTGGGAAAGCTTCTCAGTAGCAGATCCCTTGACATTACTGAGTGCTGTGAAATCGCCATGGTGAATGCGACTCGCATGTAAAATACGGCGAAGAGCGGGCCGCTTGTGAAGAAAGTCTTGTCTGTTAGCGTTATTACCTTTGCGTTTCATCTCTTAAAATTCTAATAGTGATTTTTTTTTTGAACGATTTAGACTCTTAAAAGTGCAAAACATAGTTCAAATCTTTCTTAAAATAATGTGAAAATATGACGTAACGCATTTTTAATTAGTATCAAAATGAAATCGCAGTTTAAGTACAAACTATCCAAATTTTCACATATATTTTTTTCGTTTTTATATACAGGCGTGTAGAATAAAAGTTAAAGTGAAAAGAAGAAGTAGCGATACGTAAAAATGCCCTGCATATTTGATAACCATTTCAAATGAAGTTGTAAATTAAACAGTGGCCCAGTTAATAGTTCATGTGCTGCTTGGCCTGTTTCACATTAGGATTGTAGTACTAGAAGCATAGTCTGATTTAAGAAGGCAGTAGGGTGACTTATTTAATAGTATTTTCGCTTTGATCCAATTCTGGACTTTATAAGATTCTTTTTAATCTGTGCTTGCCCTTTTTTAAAATGGAAAAATTAATAGAGGTAATCATAAAAAACTGAGTTGAATATAATGTTAAGTTTTATTCTTTATTCTGAGCGTAAATCATACTTTATTTGTTTTCACTGTTTACTTCAAATTTATTTAATTTGTCAAAAAAAGGACGTATATACTTTAAAGGTATTCGTTATAGTAAAAGTATACGCAAATAAAAGTTATTTGCCTCTTTTGATAAACTAATTAGTCGCAATTAAGTTTCGTTAGAAAACCAAGATGGCTGCCAAGATGGCCGCCACAAAGAGCACGAAAAAAAGGCCTTGGGACAATATTTCGCGATGGGAACATAGAATTTCTTTTTCAAGACATCTTGAGGATTACAAAAATGTAAGTTAGAAAAATATATCCTAGGGGTGCATGGGAACCCTCCCTTCCGACTAGACTATTTCTCTGTTGTAACTTTTTTGCGTTTACTTCACGGTAATTGATTTTATTACCATTTCTAAGGCCATTTTTCAGTATATAACAAATAAACCTTTCGTTAATTTCTGTAAAACTGTAATACTAATTTATCCTGGGTTAATACTTTTTTATCCTGTTGAACAACTTGCTGTATTTTTTTTTTCATATCCTTTTTTCTGTTGCGCCTCATTTGTGAATAAATAAAAAGAGTGTCAGCTGTGGAGAAACTGTAATCTAATTATGTTTGCCCTTTGCGTACGTTCACTTTCGTTTTCACGAACCCTCGGATTTTCATCAAAAACAGTTGCAAAAGAAAAAGAAACTGTCAATACTAATTTAGTTTACTTTTTGGTTGTCATGAAAAGGCTCTTCTGGCACAGATTACTACAACAGGTGTTGCGACAACTTAGAAGCAAAACGTTTTTTGTACTTTCAATTAGCTTTGCACGCAAAGTTTATGTTGTCAGTAAAATTAGAGTTCAAGGTAAGAAAAAATATTTTAGCGGGGCTTAAGTATGATTTTCCCCATTGGCTTGATGGCAATAAGGTGTCTTTATCACTCGGTACACGCGGTTTGGACACAATGAAACCACCCTTTTTGAGTAAAGCATCAGTCATGGGAAACTGCAATCTGTCGCAAATACTTGCTTACGGGCGTTCGTGTTCCACCCTTTTGATGCAAATCGTGGGAACTACTTTAAGCTAAAAAAGAAAATCTGTAAAAATGAATGCATTACACTAACCTGAGCCAATAGGAACCACAGCATTGAATAAAACAAAGATTTCCGCTGACATATCAGCGTTTACACGTCTAGGGAGTTTAAGTCCTCTCTTGGTACCTTCATGGTCTGGATAACAACATATTTCGACTTTACGACCCGGCCAGTTAGTCGTAAGATCCAGCCTATGCTTGGGACAGATTGTCATGGTCTGCATTTCGTCATTGCTAACAGCACCCAAAAGACCTGCACGGTTTAAAATTAACTCTGTTTCGCTGACCTCGGTGCTTCCTCTACCACGTTTTACGCTGATTTTCAGACTAAGAAGATGAAAGGTCATATCTCTTTTGCAGGCAAGTAACGGCAGAATAACCGTACCAACTCCACGCAAGCCACATGGCGATTCCTCCGATCTGAATGAACAATTCACGTTTTGATCTGTTTTCAACCTGTCGTGACGTCCGATCATTAAATTCGTGACAACTCTAGCGTTCGATGGAAACGGGGTGTCTCTATGAAGTAATTTAATTAGGATAATTTTGAATTTTCTTGGTATTATTTGATTTAAGTTTGTTTTCTGGCCAACGTCAAAAGCTCAGAACTGAGAATACAGTCCGGCTTTATTGTACTGCGTGACAAATAAATTAAAACTTTCGCGGGAAAAATGGGCTTCGTTTTTCGACGATCTCGCTTGCTTATTAAAAAGATTATTATGAATACGGTGATTTATAATGTTTTTCCTTGTAATTAGGGATATAAAAGTTTTCAATTATCTCTTCTGAAGTCGTAAAAATCTATTTTAAGACATTTACGAACCACAATCACAGTAAAACGAAACGTGGCGCTATAAAATTTGGCGGGAAATATTAATACTCGACGCTTATTATTGTACTTTCGCATGCCATTTTCTCCAATTTGCTGCTAGATACCAATTTTAAACAAACTGGATTTTGATAACAGCACAATAAGCCATCTAGAAATGATTTTACTTTTGAAATAAACTGCCGCATCTCGGTAAAACAGTCAACTGAAAATGACTGAAATTTGGGTGACGCTCATTAACGATTCAGGAGCGATTTTTAGCACCAGGTAAAAAATAGAGTATTTAAGCAAAGGAAGTTTAACATATTCCGGTCGACTAACGAAGCGATAGGTGTTATGGAAAAAATATAAGAACTATTGGGAGTTTGGCCAAGTATGTTTTAACTTCACCCAAAGTTAGCCAAAATTGGTGCTTTTTTAGGTCGCCGGAGGTCCCAAAATCTCGAAATAGTGATATCTCGAAGAAAATCGAACGGCTACTTCTCCAAATGCCATGGTTGTTAATCTTTTCAGATAGCTTTCATACTGTGAAAACATGAAGGTAAACGGCAGACCTCGATCTTTTGCTATTGCCCGGTTTTTTCTGACAATAACACTTAACAGATGAATCAGCCTCAGACTAATTATTTTGCTCCATAATTCGTCTTAGCACCGTATTTATATTAGAGACGGATTATCCTTCTGAGACGGATAATCCGTACAGACGGATAATTCGTCTCTAGTATAAATTCGGCCAATGAGACATTATAGAGTTAGCATTATTGGGTGAAAGTTAATTAAGGTACTCCTTTTTAAAGAGGTCAAATCTCTTTAACAAAAGGCGGAATAACTTAAAGTCATTTAAGTCTTGAATAAACTGAAATGGATGATGTTTTGTCGGTATGGTAGGTGTAACCATTTTGACACGATTTAAGTTAATGCCCTGTGCATAATAATCTAGGGGGGTTACAACGGAAGGGGAGTGTAAAGTAATACACCAACAGAGGTGGACAATGTCCAAATTATTCACCTTGGAGGGGGGATATCTAATTTTCATCGAAAGTTTACAAACGCATGACATAGTTTATTTTAATTGATTTGCTGAAAACATGCGCGAAAAGTCGTAAAATTAATAGTACACTGATATATTGATGAGGGTGAAATCAACCGAACAATTATAATTGTACTCTTCCCTCCTTTCCTAAACCTAAAATTGGTCAAACTGGTACGTAACACCAACCATAACCACTAAAACATGAAAAAAGCATTATCCTCTTCCTAGTAATTTTCTTCGACCGCACTTTGTTATGTCTTAATAGGCTTTAATTTATTCTTCCTCTTCATGATGATATTCAATCCTCTCGCAAAAAGAGAAGCCCACAGTTACGCTCAAAACTAGCCACTCAAAACCTTAAAAATTCAATCAGCAGCTTGATATGTCGCTTTGACCAAGTAACGAGCAAACAAAACAACGTTTCATTTTTCCTTTTCCCATTTAGTAATTTTAATGAATAGAAAACGCCAAACAACAAAGGTGAGAATCGAAATCGGGCTTTTCTTTTTTCACATATATTTCGTAAAAGTCAGTGACTCCTTGTGCAACGTAACATTCTTAATTTCACTCTTGACGTGAATATGTGGACCACTAGTAATTAAGTATATTTTAGTAATATCTTACTCTGAATTTACGAAAATTGTTTCTGTCTCTTTATAAGACATTGGCCGGTCGATCGAAGGGCCAAAATAAGGGACATTTTCCCCATATAATGCACAGTTATTTCCTAAATCTTGCGATCAATAGAGAAAGTTTGAAAAAGTGATCATGAAAAAGGGAAAAACAATATAAGATGACGTACATCGCGTATATGTTAAAGATCAACATTATATTCAGGTTTAGGAGCGTAGAGTCCATATACGCATATACGCCCGTGCGTACATGTACAGTTGAAATAAAAAATATTTTTGATTTTTTGAAAGAGCTTTTCTTTTTTATCTTTAAATCGGGATGACTGATACATTTTTCTCACTTTATTGGTGTCTTTGTGTTAGTATTCCCTTTATCTTTTTTCTATTCCATAATTCTGATGGTGTCACTGGCCCTTTTTTCCTCTTAAACACTCTGCCTTACCGACAAAACTATAGAGATGGGTAAAATAAACATTCGATTAAGGCCCGGTTCAGACGCCGTTCTTTTCATGAGCTGAACCTAAATAAATACATTGAATTAAGTACATGAAAAGTAATTCGGCGTCTTAAATAAGAAGACTACGCTAACTAGCGGACCTGTATATGGCGCTGCTTATCTTATTATCACGTGCGCACTAGTCCGTTCTTAATTAGGAACGCCTCAGTTTCAAATGCAATTTGGAACGGCTCAGCCGCTCCTCACGCGTACAGCCCGGCCGGTAATTTCGACTGTGGAACGACTTTGGAACGGCTTTGATTCAAGACATCTCCTTTTATTTGAATTTGCTTCCTACCCCTCCCCAAGCCAACATTTTGCCTTAAGAGACAAGTAAGTGTGAATGTTGGCTTAGGGGAGGGGTAGGTGGACAGTTTCATGATGCCGAGTAACAGGCAAATGAAGACGGAAACTAACCGATCAAGGGCTAGCATGTCTTTTAAAGTAAGAAATATTTTATGATAAATGAATATAATAAAGCAATTGTGGATTCGGCTTTCATATATTCTCACTAATTATGCGGGCAGAGGTGGATTACACCCTCCCGATCTGCATAAGTTCGAATAATTCTTCAGATCATAGCCAATAATTGCTAATTAACAAAAGGTGGTCTTCATGAATGAAATGTAATGAAACTGATATGTTTTCGGTAACGGTAGGCATAACAAGTTTGTCATGTTAAGGCCTTTGTGCAATAATTATCAGTTGGGGGGTCTTACAACGAAAGGGACGAAAAGACTGTGAAGACGTAATACACTCAGAGAGGGGAGAAATGTCTAAATTATTCACCTTGGGGGCGAGATATCTTATTTTCCACACGAGACAAGACGTCGTAAGTATATAGAACATTAATATTAGAGAGAGAGAGGAATAGGATGACATCGTGTATATACATATTCGTTAGCTAAGACTGATTCCGGGTTAGGAAATTATCTGCAGCTAGGCTCTCCTAACCTCTGCTCGGCTGTCTCCGTACTTCTTGATATAACAGTGAGAGATAGGGAAGGTGATGATGTTGAAAGGAACAACAATGGGATGATGTCTTCTATATTCATTAGCGACTACTGCGCGAGCAAATTTCCATTCCACATCTGCGTTAGTCTAAAAACAAACATGGCCAACAAGAAATGTTCCCTGATTAAAACATTCAGTCAATCCCGTATTCCGTAAGCCATTTAAAGAATTTTATCCTGAAACGCGACATCATATGTTTTAAAGAGTGCATATTAGGGGACCCAGATGCTTTAATTATCTCCTGCGGGTGTCGAGTCAATAAAAATAGACATATTTGATTGTTTTTACGACGTCTTGCTTTCACTCTTCTAAGTAACTCTCAGTTCTTTTAAGGTCTTAGACGGGGTCTTTGTCACAAGGATATTAGACATATTGCTGTTTTAAGTAAAATCTGCTCTTTGTCATTGGCTGCAATAAAGAACACGAAACAGTTCTAGTGCCTGCTGAACCACTATTTTTGGAATTCGATTGGCTGGAAAATAGTCTTTAGTTAGCCTTTTAATTGACAAGATAGCAAAAAGCGAGACATAGTCCCTTTAAAATAACACTCACACGAACCTCGCAACGTAGATTGTGGCCCGAACGTATTTATATGCGTGTTGATTATGTTTTTGATTTGTTTTTTTAGAATGAAAGTTTCAACCGATTTCGATGATCAAAAAGTTACGGCAACGTTATTTACCTCCACTTTACTGTAAGTGTTGTTGAGCAAAGCGACTAGCATGTTGATCAGCATAATGACAGCTAAAACCAGAAACATTACGTAGAGGACTCCAACGACTGTATCTGACCAGGTGTCATGGGATTCCAGGGTCTCCAGATTCGTCAGGCCAAAGACTGACCATACAAGATGGGTAGATGCTTTAAATAAGCTATGCAATGGAAAATAGCACTGATAAAATTAAATATGTTGAAATTGCCAGGGAACTAGTACTTCAGCGGTATTAACGCTTTTGGTGGCAAGTTACTGACATGCATCGTTAAAAAAGTCAACGTTATAATCATAGGAAAGAGGATTTAGGCAAATGCATACTTTCAGTTGTTATATAGCCAACTGGTTGCCTTCTGCCAGTTGGGGTTTTTAATCCTGTTATGTTGTATTTGAATTATTTGTTTCTAAATATTTCAGAATATTTGAGTGGAGTGCCTGTAAATTAGCTGACTAGCTAAGTGCACCTTCCACTATAAACATGCCTTTAACCTTTTTTTTTTTTTTCATTATAGAATTTCTGCAGTTGGTCTTTCGTCCATCCGTCATTCTTTATATTTTGACACTAGCTGACAATTACGCAAGTTTTCAAGAAACGAAATTAGTTATCAACTGATTTTAACAATGACAGGTTAACTGCTATCAAGAGCCATGGGTCTTGCTGCTATCATATTAAAAGAAGATACACCAAGAGGTAAAACAGAAATGCCAATTCCAGGAAGATACTTACTTTTTTTCCCGGCGAACAAAGGCAAGCGGGGCAGGATTAGATCAAAAAATGCAACGCCTGATCTGCGGGTTAATGAATTCCAGAGGCCTTTAAAAAGCTTAGGTCTATAAAACTCGGCAACAAATTTTATGTGTATTTTTTTTTTATCACGTGAGTAAAGAACTTACCAAGACGATGACCCACTCGCACAAAAGCTAAAAAAAATAAGTTTACAAAGAATAAGTTAAAAAAATAAAACAAAATAACTAGCAAAGATACACATCTGTTAATTTCCGGTTAAAAAAAGAACTTATTAAAGATGAAAGCAGCGAGAGAAAAAAAAGGAAAAAATAAACATGCGCTAGCCTCACCTTTTAACCTGGGTCCGGTTGGTTTCCACCTCTTGTGCTGGGGTCAAATAAGACATCTCGGCGGTGTAGATCATTGTGATGGCAACAGAGAAAGCCAAAATTACAAACGCAAACTGAACTAAAATGATCATAAGGTCGACGATCATTCTGAACAAAGCCAACTGAGGTGGTCCAACTGTTTTGTTTAATTCCAGTATGCTTGAAAACCTCAAGACTAGCAGCAGAGTGTTTACACCGTAGAGATAGTTAATTACCTGTAGTAGTCTGTTATGGTACGGATCTCCACCTTTAATGATGGACGCAACTCTGAGGACAAATATGATGGCGTGACAGGAGAGGGTAATGACATCCACATAGTTCCACATATTTCTGGAGAAGAAAGACAAGACTCAAAAGTATTTTGTGAAGAACAACTTTTACAAATGAGTACCATTTTAACATACGGTAAGCAAAGTAAAAATTTCACGGTAAGTCGGGCGTAAACAGTAAAAAAGAAAACAAAACTACCTTTCGATCAACAAAGCATGGAAAACAAAATGTCATTAACTACAGTATGTTATTTTCATAAATAATTTAAAGCATCCAAATGTTGGACTCATCATTCTTATAATAGAAGTGAAAAATGTTTTTTATTTTTGATTTTCAAGAATAATATATATATATTTATTTGTATTGCTGCTTGAGTTTATGTTGCTAAAGAACAGTGTCTAGATGATTATTTTATAGAGGATGAGCAAAAAAAGCGAATCCAAATCTCCCTCTAACCACCACTGTAGCTCCAGAAGAGGTAATAGTTTTGTGCTAAAAAGTGTTTTAACCCTTTGATCTGCATTAATACATATTTTTTTTCAGGTTTGTGACAATTGCTGAATATTTGGACCCCTTATGAAAGTTCTTTTCAAACTTACGCTCAGTTGAGGAGCCCACGCGTCATTGGAAGATAGCCAGAATCAAGACCGATTTCAAAAGCTTTTCTGACTCTCAATTAATAAACATTCATAGACTATTATAAGGAAAGTCTGAGGAAGGGTTATACGCGAAAGTTAATTACTTTATTACAGGTCTTAGCCTTGCCATCTTACCGAAAATAAACTTTGGATTGAGATGTATGATATTGCTGAAACTCAGAGATCAACAATCCGATGTAAAATACAAGAATGAGATATTCCTCGATTCTTGGTGATACAGGAGACCCCAGTACACATATTCTGATGTGTAAAGCTATGAACACTACTTGTTGTAGTTTTTCCTTTAAAAAGATGACGAAGGGGGTTGTTAAGTAGTCCAGGTACATATCTGCAAGACAAACAAGATAAGTTGTAACGTCGAACCCAGTAATTAGACATCGTGGCCAATTCCGCGTTTACATATCATTACTTAGGTACGTACGCACTCGATTCATAAATATTTCCAGATTTAAGTACATATAGGGTATTAGAATTTATAGGCGCCAAAAACGTATTCGGATATGTTTATATATAGAGACGATGTTGCTGAACGTTTGGTCAATGGGGAGTTTTATAGTAACCCTAATCAGTTAAAGACGAAAAAAAAAATTAATCACCACCAAGACTTTTCCTAATTAGCTGGAAACATTTTAACGTCGTTTTGATGGATCAACATTGAAGAATTAGTTCGTTTTTTTTTTCAAAATTTGTTTTTTACTACAATGCCGTTTTGCTCATCAAAAGGAATTTTTTGTTCATCAAAATTTTGTTGCTTGAGTTCCTGTTCGCTTTTATGTTTTTCACTGCCGCTCATTTCAGCTTGGTGGCCGCTAGCATTTCTCATTTTCTCACCGCCGCTATGAAATTTTCATGTTTTTCTTCCAACGAAATTCGTCTCCTTTGTTTTTACAGAGGGTCTTCTAAAGTGGAACTTTTAAGATATGATATCCAAGTTAAGAAAAAAAAAGAAAATTTCCTCGTGGCTTGTTTACGTCCTCCGTTAAAGAGATTGAATTAGGCACTTTCATGTCGTAGTCTTACAGTGACGGCAAAGAATTGTACAAATACATGTGATGCACTTAATTACAGAGTTGGTGTTTTGATTATTTAACCTCTTACTCTTTTTTTTTTTATGTTCTCATTGCCATCGCCGTCGTCGGAACTTAAGATCTCTGATAAACTCCTTTTGCAAGGAGACAGGGACAGCAACAGGAAGTTCTAGGTTTACAGTTCCTTTGAACACTTGCTCGAAAATTCCTATAAATTACTACTGACACGCTTACGAGCCAATTGCCTATTTAGGGTCCTTCTGAAATATATGTAGTTTGAGAATTTTTATTTGTTTCTAACTATGTTAATGGAGTGCTTGTAAAGAATATAATTCGGCTTTAATAATGTTCTTCCATCGGTAACGAACCTCTTAATGTTTTCTTGTTCCGTTTAACCTCTTCACGAGTCAGACAGGTTACCTGGTCCTTGTAGAAGGCATATGTGATAAGAGGAAGAAACACAGGAGTCAAAATAGTGTCGAGTACGATAAATACATATACAAGAAACCTCAATTTTTTCCCTGGTTGACAGTCAAGTGGCAAACCATAGTTCCACCTTTGGCTCAGCAGTCTGTACGACAGTGGAAGGGATACAAACTATAGGGAAAAATAAAAGCACAAAAAAGTTGAGTTGTTGGAAAGTAAAACATTTTTGCTATTATCACTACTTTCAAATCTTGTGCTATTATTAATAAATTCTTTCTTATTTCTTTCACGCAATGTATCTCCGACAGAAGCTTTGTCGACGAAGTGTTTTCCTCTCTTTATCAGATTTTCATTTACATTTCCCGTTTTTTTGGTTTTAAATGGTTATCCCGTTAGGCCTGTTGTCTGCAAATATTTATTTCCTTACAGACAGTAGGCTGATTTCCCAGTGGGGGGTTACTCTTGGTAGGGGTGTGCCACCCGTTTCTCAAATCCTGACCCCATTTTTAGACCAAGAATGTCATTTCCACACCCCTTTTCAGACCTGCTCCCCTAAATACATATCCGTCTTCCAACTTGGAGGACTCACAAACGCAACATACGTTTCCCTAGGAAAAATTTTGTCATCATACCAAGAGCCCATAAGCTTAAAATCTATTTCGAAATCACATTTAACTCTAACTCTCTTTCTTATTCACTTGGAATTGAAACGAGAAATACGTTCATGCACTCCCGTCGTTCCCTGAAAAACCATGCCCGTGATTCCAGACCAAAATAGGCAAAGTTTATACAATGTACCCGTTTTCAGATCAAACGGCCCAAAAATCATACCCTTTTTCATACCTTGACGAATCTCAATATTTTTCGGCACTTTGCGATATTCTGTGTCTCAGGAAACGTAGAAAAACTTTGTTGTATATTAGCACGGTTAATAGCAACTTTTGTTGAACGTTTAAATCCAGCAGCCATATCATTATAAAGTTTATATACCTTTTTCTGCGAAAAGCGAATAGCTGATTCGGTGATGCTATCAAGTAAAGACGCATATGGGTCCATATCACTGATTTCCTCGTGCTCAATTGAGATTTCCTCTTTCGTGTTGATTTGATCCATGAGCGTAACAGAGAAGTCCTCAACCTGCTCTGCTAGCGTAGTAAAAAATACTGCACTCTCGTCTCGATAGTAGGAGAGTTCCCTAAGTTTCGTTGAAACCTGCATGGAGAGTAATAAAAAACTGGTGTCCTACATTAGGCTGTGAAAGCGAATTTTGGATTCCCCTGAACACCGTTGGACGGCCTTGAAGATGATGGATGATGGTGAATCCGGCCTAAATGAGTGAATAATATTTCTTTCTTTCAAACGGATACAATTACACCATCCAACAAAACTGGATCAATGATGTGCTGGACCAACATGCTTGATCTTGAATCTAGAAATGATTATGATGCGTATGAATATCGTGACCTAAAATAATTCTTGTCGTTGTTGATTTATTTTTGCTTTACAAACGGTGAGAAAATGGTTGAGACAGATTTATCCAACTGAAGGGTATTTTAGTACCATACAACACTGCGCTCTTACCCCAACTTGATTGCCTGGTTAATTGATTCCCACAGCTCTTAATTCTTCTGATCAGAGATGTCAGTGAGAAGGAAGGCCGTTTGAAGAGAATCACCTTCGCTGATTTTTTTAAACGTTTTCGCGCAGAAAATAGAAAAAGATGGCCGTAGGTGGGTTTTCTGCTCAAACTAAGTGTCTCGCCATGACTTTTTGCTCTCAAAATATCTTCGCTCCCAAATCACTTGTAAGCGTCTATATAAGAGGATTGATGCTGATACAGACTAACCTCAAAAGCTGTTGTAACTGGATTTTTACAGCGGCACAAATTATTGGCGGTGAAAGCCTCTTCTATTTTGTCTAGAGATGCGTCATCAATGTCCTTTAGAGTGTCTCTAATTTTCAGCTCGGCTGCAATTTTATAAACAAAATTTCCTACAGATTAGCGCATCTAAGGATGAAATAGAAAGAAGAAATAGCTAACTGCTTTTGTAAGTTCTTCACCAACATAGGTCCGAATTTAGCAAGGAAAATTCCAGACACACAAGTATCTTTTCGTAGTTTTCTTGGCGCTTCTGTTAATGAGTCGCTTATCTTAAATCCAACTAATATTTCGGAACTAAATCAAATATGCAACTCTTTTAAATCTGGAAAGTCGCCTGGATATGATAACGTTTCAATGGATATAATAAAAAGCACCTTTGATCTCATTTCTCAGCCTTTGGCCAATGTAATCAATTTGTCTCTTATTAAAGGAGTATTTCCTGATGAACTGAAAATTGCTAAACTGATTCCGGTATTTAAAGCTGGTGATTCCCAGTATTTCACTAACTACCGTCCAATTTCGCTTCTTTCTAATTTTTCTAAATTCTTTGAAAGAGTTATGCACAATCGTATTACAAATTTTTTAGATCGTTTAGATATCTTATACTGTTGCCAATTTGGATTTCGTAAAAAATATTCTACAGCGCTGTCTTTAATTCATCTTATTAATAAAATTGCAACTGCTATTGACAGAAGCGAATATACAGTTGGCATATTCTTAGACTTATCAAAAGCATTTGATACTTTAGACCATCAAATACTCTTGTCTAAGCTTGAGCATTATGGGATTCATGGGCTAGCACTTAGCTGGTTGAAAAGCTATTTGTCAAATCGCGTGCAGTTTGTCCAGTACAAAGAGACTTGTTCTATTAGGCTGACTCTGAGCTGTGGAGTCCCTCAAGGTTCTATATTAGGACCATTATTGTTTGTTTTGTATATCAATGACCTCCCTTGTGCTACTCGTCTTGCTGAAACTATGCTTTTGCAGATGATACTAGTGTGTTTTATTCTAATCCCGATTTAAATTGTGCTATTTCTGCCGTAAATAATGATTTATCTCAAATTGATCTTTTTATGAAAGCAAATAAGCTCTCTGTTAACATAACGAAAACTAATTATATCATTTTTGCAGCAAGGCAAAAACCAGTCGGCTTCCCAATAAATCCTGTCTTGTACGATGAGGTTTTATTAAAACAAGTAAAGGTAGTTAAATTTTTAGGGTTTTTATCGACGAGCATCTAACGTGGAAGCCGCATATTACTTATATATGTAAGAAAATTTCAAAATCTATTGGCGTCATGTTTAGGTCTCGTTTCTTTCTTTCTGAAACAACAAAAAAAGTCTCTTTATTATACCTTAATTTATCCTTATTTAACATATTGTACCACAGTTTGGTCCTCCACTTATGTAACAAACCTTAATAGAATTTTTCTTCTACAAAAGCGAGCAGTACGAATTATTACAAATGCAGATTTTCGCGCGCACTCTGAACCATTATTTTTCCGTTTAAAGATTTTGGACATATACAACATTAATTCATTCTATACTGCACAATTTATGTTTTCATATTATCATCAATTACTGCCACCGCTTTTTTTTCGAACCTTTTTGTTACTAGTAGCAATATTCATAATTATAATACTAGAAGTTCCTCGCATTTCCGTTCTCATGCCTGCCGAACTAACACCAAACAATTTTCTATTTTGTTCCAAGGCCCTAAAATTTGGAATTCTTTACCAAACTCAGTCACTTCGATTTTTACATTGCAATCGTTTAAAATGAAAGTTTTTGATTTTCTACTATATCGATAATGCGTCTTGTACTGTCCGTTGTTGTGTGTTGTTATAGTTCTATTGCTTAATATTATTGTAACGAGGGGGCCTCCTCGTACAAGCCTTGTGGTTTTCTGAGGTCCCCTCGCCACATCTTTGTATAATGTAATGCTTGTGTAATCTTTATTGTGGGAAAATAATAAATAAATAAATAAATAAATAAATTCGGTTAACCAAGAAAATTATTGATATGACTCTAGTCATTTCAACGCAGAACGATTTTGCTGCTAGCCCGGGGCCTCTAACGCGTATGTGCCGCCAAACAGACAATTGTTTTGAAAGGTCTCGGTTTCCAAATTAAGGGGCATGCAATTTCGTTACTTAGCGTATTAAACAGGGCATCTTTCTAGACCCAATGCCTTGAATAGGGTTTGAATCTTCAAGGTAGCAAGAGTCTAAATGCTGTGTAGGGTGATCAGTGTTTATCACTTAAAAAGCTCCTTAACTCCAGATTAAAGGAACAAAGGAGATGTTCTTTAACCAAGCGTTATGGAGTATTTGGGCACACAGAAGAGGTCTCTTGTATTAAACAAATGAAAGGAGAGGATTTGTTGGCCTCCACGGCACACCCTTCCATAAATTTCCCTTATGTCCTTCCTCAACCGGCCTGACACCTAGAATTTTTTTCCGCCAAAAAATTAACTGACATTTGACAGAATGAAAAATTAAAATACCTTCATTTAATACACAAATTGACTTAATTGATAAAATATTTTCAGTTGACTTTTCGACTTTTCAGGTTTGAAATATCAGGATTGGTATTTATGCCAAATATCAGGTACTAATCATGCTATTATTTGTTTATACTACTTGACCCGTAAAGGTTTATTTGTAATTGTCACATGTAGGTATTTCAAATTAAGCTGAAATACCACTGCTCTATAGCCAATCACTATTGCAGAAATTTCTCATGTAGTAGTACAATTACATTTATAATATAGGGCAAGAAATTTCTGAGATTTGATTGGTTAATAATGGTGGTATTTCTGCGTTATAGGGGTATAACACACTGAAAAAACGATGTTATAACGAAGTAACCATGACGACAGCATAGTAGCGCATCTTTGTTTTTTTGTTTGCAAAAAAATGGGGGCCAGGTTCCTAGAAATTTCCGGGGACGAAATACAACAGCTCGCCGGAAAATCCGTCAACATAAAATACAATCAAAACTACGAAGACTTGGATCAAGGTTTGGAAGAAGTGGGCGACAACCATGGGATCTTAACGACGACATAATTGATTTTAAAACGTGACAATGCCAAAGAACTGAACGAGCATCTCTCGTGATTTTTTGCCGAAGTTCGCAAAAGTGACCGCCCTGAGTATGAGCAGGATAGTCTAAGGGTCATGTTGGCTGCTCTCATCAGACACCAGAGACAAAATGAAAGTAAAATCTCCATAGCAAAGGACAGAGAATTAATGGTGTGCAGACAAGTCCTCGGAGGGAAAAGCAAGTCAGAGCTCTTCGCGAGAAAGACTACGGAAAACGACCAAATGCAACAAAAGCTTCGCGGCTCGTGGTATTTTAGACAATTTTGAAATATTTCTCCCGGTATTATCGCCAAATACCACTACAGCTCATACTATTACCTATTTAAATTATAATTTTCTAGCACTGATACGTTTTTTCCTTATGGCTATCACCATTTATGACTATTTACCTTCACTTATGTTAGTTCCATCTGGATCGTCGTTAATTTGTTCTATGGGTAACAATAGCAAGAACAACGAAATCATCATTACTGGCGACCTTTAGCCAATCACTAGTAGTTACGACATAATCTTCTCACCAGCTCATTACTTATGTATTTAAAGTGTTTCGATATAATAGTTTTTCAGACGCCATACCGATATTTTTCAATCACTTTAAAAGTGATTTTATCCTTGTCTGATCGCTATAAAATTTTCACCAATGATTGATTATAAATTGAAATTTGTCAAAATGTGGGTTTTAGTAAAATCAATATTACTATGACAACAATAAACAAAATTTTGAAATTGATAAACGCCTAATTTTGCGCGATCTAGACTAGCCTGTTGCAGGCTCCGAGATAGTCGGGTCCGCTGAATTGAGAAAGCGCGAAGACGAAAATAAAACGGGAGGAAACTGGGGAGAGGAGGGGCGGCGGAGCCTGTAATCATTTCTTTAAACGACCCGTTCCGGTATACTAGCTCCTGGTATACCCTAGCCTCTGCTTGGTCAAATTTGACAGATTATATCAACACTCTCAAAGCGGGTCGTTCCTGTCACTCACTAGGATAACGTGCGGCGTATTATATTATTTAGATGCTAGGCATTTCCTTACGTGTAATGTATTTTTAGTTTTCCTTTTATTACACTGCATGTAATTATAACTGACCGTTAGGCTAAAACTACCTTCTGTTACTATAATTATTCTAAATAATAATAGCCTATGAGTAAATTATATTAAATTGGCGTTTTGGACTCCCCAATAACAACCAATTTTATTTTTCAAACTGTAGAGTTCCATATATCTTTAACCAAATAATGCAACTTACTTAGTAACGGTACTTTTTCAACTTTCCTCTAAAGGGTTTCCCTGTGTAGCATGTTTCTCGTGCGTTATGTATGACCTTCAGATAACACCGATCTTTCATGCATTTAATTTATTCTGCTTCTGTAATTTTTTTTTTTTTGATTTAGCAAGTAAATGATTGGTTGGAGTCTTCAACAAAACATTCGAGATAGAATTCAAACCTTCATCCTGGTGATCATCCTCTCGTGGAAGAACATGCTTGCGCCAAAACCTGCGGAAGTTTATTCCAGCATCTTCAGCACCTGTTGTTGGGATGGAATTAAGGCCTAATAAGCGTATACTTAAACTTTTCAGTGACATGTTATACTCACATAAAAGAAGACTCTTGAGAGCGCATGCACCGCCGACAACTTGAACCAGAACCTTTCAAAGTACATACCAGTCCCTGTGGAAGTCATACCCATTTTTGATTCGTGATAAAAGCAATATCTACGTTTTCAGACAATCCGCAGAGTTGAAGTGCACTTTTGTAAGCTAAGATCGTAGCAAACAGCGCTTTTAAACCGGAATAGTTGGTATTTCGCCTTTAAAATACTGTGAAAATAGCATGTTTAAATCCTGATTGAAAGAATTTCATTGTGTCCTTTATTTTAAATCACCTTTAAAGTTGAACTGGCCTCTTGAAAGTGCGTTAAACATATTTTAAGTATACTATTTTTGAACTGTTTAAAGTCGTGGTAGTGGAGTTCCTTTCAAAATACTGTTTAAACACTCCAGTT